GGATTTGCTGAAGAGAATGTGATTGGTGAAGGAGGGTATGGTGTAGTCTATAGAGGAGTTTTGCAAGATAGGTCTGTTGTCGCTGTCAAGAATTTACTTAATAATAAGTGAGTATTCGGTTTTTGTTTCAATTATTTTTTAGATTTGTATGTTTTGTTCTAATTGTTATCGTTTTTGTTTTTGTTTTTTACCGTTTTGTTATGAATTATGATGGTAAAGTTTTTGTTTTTTGATGATGGGGGAGAGGAGATGGGATTAAAGTAGAGGGTTACTTTGTTCTTTAGTTCTTTCTCTTTTGTTCCTTTTCATTTTTATTATCCAATTGTTTGTATATCCTTGACATTATCTTAATACCTTTGAGCTCAGGAGGCTTTTTTTTTTTTTTTTTGACCTTTCTCTTTTTGTCCTTTTGATTTATGGATGGCAAGGCTTTATTTTCTTATTGAAATGACAAAGGATTGATCTCATTAAACTATATTTTTAGTCATTTTTTTTTTTTGGAACTGAGTTGACATTTTTGGAGTGCAAACGCATAGTTTTTTATTTTTTATTTTTTACTGTTGGAGAGAAATTGGAATATAAGAAATCCGGAAATGGTACATGATTTTTAATGAAATCAATGTTAACTAAACAATATTGCTCTGATTCGTTAAAAGAAGGTTTCCGAGTTTTTTTTTTTACTTTATTAGTGTTACAGAGTGCTCTGATTGGGTTATGAAAATTCTCCTAAAAAGCTCTAGTGTTGTAATATTTGTGCACTGTGAGAATTATCTGGTTGGAACTTCATATGCTGTGAACTTTGAATTTCTAGGGGTCAGGCGGAAAAGGAGTTTAAGGTGGAAGTGGAAGCCATTGGAAAAGTAAGACATAAGAACTTAGTGCGCCTAATTGGGTACTGTGCAGAAGGTGCTCACAGGTATTTATCACATCCAAGTCCAAACTATCTGTTTTAAGTTGAACGAAATGAAATATCTCTTGTTCTTTTGCTATTTATTCATGGGCACTGTTACTGGCCTTGCAGGATGCTTGTTTATGAATATGTTGACAATGGAAATTTGGAGCAATGGTTACATGGTGATGTAGGTCCTGTTAGTCCTCTGACCTGGGATATTCGAATGAAGATTGCAATTGGGACAGCAAAAGGGTGCGGTACTCTAGGTTCTAGTTTTATGTATTAGTTGTTTTCCCAGCGATTCATGGCATATTATTTTAATCAGCTTATCAGTTAAAACTTCATTCGTCAGCACCTATAAAGTTCAGACTACAGAATTGCCATTGTTTTTGTCATCGTAGAAGTTTAGTGCGTAGTTTTAGTTTGTGTAGGTTGTGTTTTTTTGTGTTTCCGATCAGATTCACTCTTTCTTGGGCTTGATTTTCATTCTTCCTCTGCAAAGATCCAGGAATTTTAGTAATTGTGAATAGCCAATAACATCAAAGATCAGACTTTAAATTTTCCCTTTTTTTCTCTTAATCCTTCTAGTTGAAAAATTCTTCTACTTTTTTTTGTTCCTTAACTTTTATGTTTCCCATCTCTGCTGCAGGCTAGCCTATTTACATGAAGGTTTAGAACCTAAAGTTGTTCACCGTGATGTAAAATCCAGTAACATCCTTCTCGATAGAAAATGGAATCCCAAGGTCTCAGACTTTGGATTGGCCAAGCTCTTGGGTTCTGAAGCAAGCTATGTGACTACACGTGTTATGGGGACATTTGGGTGTGTATTTTTTCAAATTTTTATTTGAATTTTCATCATGAGTTGGTCGAACTTAAATTTGGATGACGTTGTATACATTTACTCTACACTGACGCTCAATTTATCATCATTTGTTCCAGTTATGTATCTCCTGATTATGCAAGCACAGGAATGCTTAATGAGGGGAGTGATGTATACAGTTTTGGAATTCTTCTTATGGAGGTGATTACTGGAAGGAGTCCTGTTGATTACTCCAGACCAGCTGGAGAGGTAAAAACAAGTTTCCCCTAACAGCATCTGTATTAAAAATTATATCTTCATCATAACACTGCTTCAATTATATTTTGTCAGATGAACATGGTTGATTGGTTCAAAGGAATGGTAGCAAGCCGTCGTGCGGAAGAGCTTGTAGATCCCCTCATTGAAGTGCAACCTGCTCCAAGGGCTTTGAAACGAACATTGCTGGTTTGCCTCCGATGTATAGATTTGGATGCGTGTAAGCGACCAAAAATGGGGCAAATTGTTCATATGCTTGAGGCAGACGACTTTCCTTTTCGTACTGTAAGTCCTCCCATGCTCACTATTTTTCATGTCGTCAATTTTCAGCAAAACTGCTTGATGTGTATGAGTTAACTAATTCCATGATGTGATATCCAACTAATGTTACCTGTAATTGAATTGACACTGTGTGTTGCTTACATAAGCAATACATGAGCATCGGTATGCATATTCTGCAGATTAAATCTTGCCTAGCCTTGTAGCTGGCAAATAAACCATTGAAATTCTAGAAATTTATCCAAACTTTGTTATTTCAGTTACTTGGTGACCTCTTTAACAAGAAAGCACAAGATTTCCCTTTTTTTTTTTTTTTCTTTCCTTTCAACTGCTTCAAGTAGCTATTTGTCTGTGCAGGAAATTCGATCAGTTCGAGAGAAAGATACTCCTCCTTCCCATGCTGATGCTATCTCCAACAAAATTCCACATCCAACCAAGCATGCTGGCAGTGGTGCTGATGTAGAGAGATCAAGGCGTAGATGATTGTTCACTATCTGAAACTTAGTAGTTGCTGAATTCAGATTATTTTGTATTATAGTTTTCCACAAGTATACGAAGAAGTAATTACATGTCTTCAATGTGCATATATCATATTTACGCCATTTTTCCCACCTTGGTCTTCTGTATTTGCTGATATATTGCAGCTAGTTACAATTAAGTGAGCATTGTAAATATCTACATAGATTCTGAATATGTGAAAATTTGCAACCTGGTTGATATGAATGGGATCTGGAATGTTGAATGAAGGCTGGTTGAACTTCAACGTGATGCATTTTTAGCCTTTCGGATCCCTTTGGATTTAATTATCGTTGTTGGCACGTCCTACTCAGCTGCAATTGCCCGCTTCTGCTCCAAGAAACCGTGCGTGGATGAGTGACGTGTGCATGCATAAATGGTGCAACGAGTGGCGCTGGATCGTTGTAGTGGTGGTATTCAAATTTGAACAAGGCCGAAGTGGTCTTCAGGCTGTGAGCCCATACCAAGAACATAAGGCAGATCTAGCCCACCTTTGGATTTCATTTCTTCAATACGGAAATTGACTCAGGATGTGTTTGGTGGGCAAGTGGGCTACATAGTTACTCAGAAGATATATATATATATATATATATATATATATGAATTTTAAAAAAATGATAAAAAAAATTTTCACCTAAGCTTAAATTTTTTTAAAATTTTTTTAAAAATATTCTTTTTTTTTTTTTTTGTCTATTTCTCTCTGATTAAAAATTTACATTAATTACTCTATGGCTAATGTAAAATTTCTCATGCCATCTGTATGGAGGAAGTTTTTCATCCTTTTTAATGTATGCATCAAACAACTGTGTGTGTGTATATATATATGAACTTACAAAAAATGATAAAAAAATTCACCTAAGCTTAATTTTTAAAAAATATTCTCTTATTTTTCTCTTATTATTATTTTTTTTTAAATCTATTTCTCTCTGATTAAAAATTTACATTAATTACTCCATGGCTAATATAAAATTTCTCATGCCATCTGTATGGAGGAAGTTTTTCATCCTTTTTAATGTATGTATAAAACAACTGTACAAATGAAGTTGTCCGGTCATTATCTATGGTATTCCCATGTATCATTGTAGCAGATAGACGCGATTTTGTTAACTTTGACACTAGTGGATGTAAAGATAGTTTATATATATATATATATGGTTGTTGTTGTTCATATCATTAAACTTAAGAGTACTTTGGCCTGTACAATGAGAGTGTATCTCCTCATTTTCTAAATCCAACCTCATCTTTTCCAGGTTTAAATTTGAGACCTGACTATCCCCTCTTACACAAAAGTAATATCTCTTGTTCTACCAAAAATATTGAAGTGGCAAAATACATCACTATTAACAAGCTCTTGTCCCTCTCACTCGGTTAGCATTGAGACCATTCCCTGCTCAGACCCAAAAGAAATGATTCTACCAAGCAGTGGAGGAACCGATTCTACCAAGCAGCAATTATGATGTTTTCATGTCCTTCGTAATCCGTATCAAAACTCTCTTTTTATGATACTCTCGTACATACATATAAATATAGAATCCATAAATAGTTATTACTATGCATCTCACATAAAAATAGATTAAAGTTTCTCAATCTTTCTCGAGTTAAAGAAATCTCATAATAGTGGTCTCGTCCTTTATAATCTGAATTATCCTCCCTTTTTTTGAATTACTTGTCTACTTCGAATCGTCAGCCTCTTCTAAAAATTTTGGCAATGAGGATAAATCGACCAAACTCCTATCCAACTATCCTTGATCCACACTGCCATCTTCACCACTTTAATTAACCACAGCTTCATCACTGAATTTAAAATAAAATACTGATTCTTATGTACATCAGGTCCTCAAATATTTAATTTTCCGCAACTAAAAGTGAAGTCAAGACTCATAACCTTGCAGCAGCTGTTGTTTCTCACTTCTCCCAACGGAAAACTAGCCAAGTTTCACTCTGAAACTAACACGTGTCACTACATTTCGCATAATCTCTGTACGCCAAAAACTCCAAAATTACCATCGCCACCCATTTTTTTTTCCTTTTTTGTGCCTTTCGGTGCCTGACAACTAAAAAGGAAAGAGAGAGAGAGAGAGAGAGAGAACATTCTCTCGTTAATTACACATAAAGCAAGCAACAACAAACTTCACCACAAGATCTGTTCTATCTGAAACCGAAACATCACCGTTTTGTAGTGAGAGAAACATCAGCGAGTTTTTAGAGAGAGAGAAAGTGAGGGATTGGGAAGGGGCGATGGATGAGAAGCTGATAGCGAGGCTAGAATCAGCGGTGGCGCGATTGGAAGCGCTGTCGTTGAGGGGTGGGGGTGTGGCTGAGAGTGGCGGAGATGACGCCGCGGCAACGGATCCGTCGATTGTGGCGTTTGATGATTTCATTGGGACATGCTTTGGTAGGGTTTCGACTGCTGCGGAGAAGATTGGAGGACAAGTTTTAGAAGTCACGAAGGTTATAGAACAAGCTCTTAATGTACAAAAGGAACTTCTCATTAAAATCAAGCAAACTCAGGTACTGATTTTTTTATTTAATTAATTCTCTATTAATTTTTGTTTATGTTTTTGAGGTTTTAATTTTAAATTAAAAAGTTGGCGCCATGACAATGTAAGTGGAAGGTTTTGATTGAAGAATAGTATTGAGTTTGAAGTGATTATGTAGCTTGAATTTGATCGTGATTCGTTGTATATCAAAGAATTATAGTTTTATTCACGTGGTTTTGGCTGAGTTGAGTATTTTTTAAGTCTCTAGACGAATTTGTTAAAATTTTGCTCGGATGGTCTAATCATATATAGATTTTGTAGTTTTATGCGTGCGCATGATCTGATGCATTTTGATTAATCATGAATGGGTGTTGAGTGAAGTCTGTTTTTAGTGTCATAATAAAATGAAGTAGTTTCAAAGATTGGTTTCGATTTGGTTTCCCGTAAGTATTTTCCGTTGAATGGAAGGCTTGATGAGAATGGCCCTTTGGAATGAGAACCTGAAATGATGCGAGAATGTATGAATATTTTACGGTGGCAACAAATTATTTGAGAAATCACTGTAATTTTAGATTTGTGCGAAGTGTCTTTTTGAATTTATGTTTCACTGACAAATGCTAATTGAGAATGGCCATTATTGCTCGATAAAGTGTTAGAATATTTGATATGAAAAGTATTTCACAATCAGGGAGAAAAGATCCTTTTGTGATCCTACTTCTTTAGAGGTGTGACATGGACATAGAGGTTGGTATCGCATCATTGTTCTCTGGTAGTCAATATAGTTGATAAGCATTGAAAGAGAACTTGAAGATGGAATAAAAACAATGGGTTACTATAGAAGTAGGGAAGGGTACAAGAGATTGGTTATGGGCATGCTGTATACTTTTGATTTCCTTGGCAATATCATTCCAATGTAAAATTGAAATTTGGTGATATTGAATGGCTTGTTCTATTGGTGCAGAAACCTGATCTTGCTGGATTGGCTGAAATTCTCAAGCCATTGAATGAAGTGATCTTGAAAGCAAATGCAATGACAGAGGGAAGGAGATCTGATTTCTTTAATCACTTGAAGGCAGCTGCTGACAGTCTCACAGCTTTAGCTTGGATTGCTTACACTGGAAAAGATTGCGGTAAGTGAATTTCATAGTCACTTCTACATTCTAATAGCATATAGTTCTTGACCACTTCGTGTTTTATTCTGATATTGTTTTTTTCTTATTTATAGGTATGAGCATGCCTATTGCTCATGTGGAAGAAAGCTGGCAAATGGCTGAATTTTACAGTAACAAGGTAGTTTATGTTTGCTGGATTCTAGCCACTCACTACAGGGAACTGACACAAAGTAGACATGATCTTCATTACTGATAACTGTAGGAAGAAAATAGAAATGTTAGCTTCAAGAGGATGTTTATGGACCAAAATCAGCCACCAACCATCCATTGTTTTTTTTTTTCTTTTTATTTTATTTTGATTGTGCCATAAGACTTTATCCAAGTCATTCATCTGTAGACATTGTGTTCCTATTTTGGTGTTTGAAACCTGCATTGAGCCCACTCTATAATCACGTTATCTAGTTGCACGTGAAAACAAGTATTTAGTGAGCGAGAAAACTATAATGATTGCTGCTAATATTTTGCGCTGTAAAATACAGATTCTTGTACAGTACAAAAGCAAAGACCCAGACCATGTTGAATGGGCCAAGGCTTTGAAGGAGCTATATTTACCAGGTTTGAGGGATTATGTTAAGAGTCATTATCCCCTGGGCCCAGTGTGGAGTACTGCTGCCAAAGCTACAACCTCTGCTCCATCAAAAGCTCCTGCACTAAGCACTCCTGCTCCTCCACCTCCTCCACCAGCTTCTCTCTTCAGTACTGAATCTTCTCAGCCTTCATCATCAAAGCCAAAAGAAGGGATGGCTGCTGTTTTCCAAGAAATTAGTTCTGGGAAGTCTGTGACTTCAGGTAGACTTAACCAACCCCACCACCACCACCCACCCCATCCCTAACACACACACACACACACGCACAAAAAAAAAAAAAAAAAAAAGTCTCACCAAAGGATATCTTGGATCGTTGATTTGCTTTCTTGCTTCCCAGGTCTTAGAAAGGTCACAAATGATATGAAGACAAAGAATCGTGCTGAGAGAACTGGTGTTGTTGGTGCTAGTGAAAAAGAAGGCCGCACTAGTGCACCTTCTTTCTCCAAGACAGGGCCTCCAAAACTAGAGCTTCAAATGGGTCGTAAGTGAGTATCCATCATTTAAAAAATGGTTTTGATATTAAATTAAAGCATCAGGTTGACAAGGGATGTGACTCATATATTGTCTGTTTGGCTCATCTTCTTGCAGGTGGGTTGTTGAGAATCAAATTGGAAAAAAGAATTTAGTAATTGATGACTGTGATGCAAAACAGTCTGTATATATTTTTGGATGCAAAGATTCAGTTCTGCAGATTCAAGGTAACTTTTATAATCTGTAAGAATATATAAATGCATGCCATCCATCTATGAATATTGCTCAACGTTATGTTTCCTGTTTAGAAAGCCAAAGCAGCTTATTTTGATTCTCGCAATTTGTAGGCAAAGTTAACAATATAACGATTGACAAATGCACTAAGATGGGGGTTGTATTCATGGTTAGTATGAGTAAATCTGAAAGAAAAATGCAAATTTTATTTTACTGCCCTGTGGTACCATTACACCGTTTGAGTTGAATGTTCATTTTATTGGATAAACAGGATGTGGTGGCTGCTTGTGAGATTGTGAATTGCAATGGTGTTGAGGTGCAATGCCAGGTATCTTATTTCAAATTATATTTGACTTTGTCATTAATGTTTTGTTAATTGGACATAGATAGGAATTGATCTTGTCCATGGAACACAAGCATGATCTAAATTGCATCTACCAAATTTGTCCCCTGCTCTAGGGTTCTGCTCCCACAATTTCAGTAGACAACACGGGAGGCTGCCAATTATATTTAAGCAAAGATTCTTTGGGGACTTCTATTACTACTGCTAAATCGAGCGAGATCAATGTACTGGTACCTGGTCCGGAGCCGGATGGTGATTTGGTATGTTTCCAACTTTCAGATTTGTTCTTTCTACTCTGCTCAACTCACAAAGATTTAGTTCATCATCCCTTGGGGTTAATGTTCAAATTCCTGCACTCTCAATAGTCATCACAAATAATAATCAGATACCTTTTGTTGCTATCCTGAAGATTTTACTTTCCGAATGGCTTACCGTGTTTTCATTTGTAGGTGGAGCATGCTTTGCCACAGCAGTTCATTCATGCATTCAAGGATGGCCAGTTTGAAACTACACCTGTCTCCCACTCTGGAGGGTAATTGAGTCAAGTTCCTATTACCGATGCTGGTTTCTACATTCCTATTTTATTTATTTATTTTTCTTGATGGCTGAGGGGTGGCTTCAATACGTATATTTTTTCTTTCCCTTGATTCAATTTTCTGTCAATACATGATTGTGACACATGATACACTGTCTGTTGTCTATGCCCTTCTTTATTGCTTGGGCATATCAGACTTTTGTAATTTTCTGCATGATTTTTGTTTGCAGAGTTTGTTTCTTGATGCCTGTCATGTTGTGGGGTTCTTGGAACTGCCAGTGTGTTGTAATGAGAGTGAATTTTTGTATTATTTTGCGTTGTCAAAGCCTGGTTTTATTTCTATTCATAATTCTATCCCTTCACTATCTTGTGTTGATAAACTGGACCTGTCACCGTCCTGAAAATTTAGTTATTGAATTCAGGAAGTCAAAAACAGCCTGTTGGGACATAAACGGGTCGAAGGCATGTAATAGATGTTGTAGCCGAGCAAGAGTTGTTAAATTCAATCAGGTTGAAGTCACATCCAAGTTTATCTTTTAGCCTGTTCTAATTAGCGTTATTAAACAGTTAATCCAACAACGTACTCCTGGAGCTACAAGCTGAGAAATGTTCTGTTAGTACCATTTTTTTTTAATTTTTTTTTTGAGATTAGCAATTGTTAAGACATGATTCTAAGAAGCCTACAGCAACCAGGTCTCCATTTTCTGCTAAAAGTTCTTTTCTTATTAGATTTCTCAACAGCAATCTGATTTTTTCAGATAACAACAATCTGAATCTTTCAGATACATCCATGTAAAGATGCGTGTATATAACTCTTATTGGCTGTATATAATGAAGTAGTTTGTATATGTCTAGAGTTCTATAAACTCACTTCTTATAACACCATATGAGGGCAACTAGTTCCTAAATAACATAAAGCTGAATTATTCATTCAATCTTAAATCTGTGTTAACTTGGCATTAGTTCCTGAATAAGCAACACTGCTCTCTTTTTTTTTCCTAAGCCAAGTTGTTTCTTTCTTTTCTACTACCTTATTATCCAATGGCTTCCTCTGCTAATGCCTTTTCATCCATTGCTGCTTCGTCAGAAATCAAACATAGTCCACCCCCACTCGGTGGGCTACCTCATGCCTACCATTTTATCTCTCTGAAGCCCATTAACACCAATTTCTTACATGGCGAGTTCAAATGAAACCATTCCTTCTTAGTCAAGGCCTTTTTGGCTTTATTGACGAATCTAATCCTTGCCCTTCTAATGACATTGACATAGATGAATTAACCTCATCTTAGCTAAATCCACATTATATCACTTGGGTTTAGCATGATCAATTGCTTATGAGTACTCTTATCTCTTCTCTTTACTCGAAAGTCTTACAATGATTATTGATCGTACCACATTTCGAGAGGTATGGTCGATCCTTAAAAGTGCTCTTACCTCTCATTCCAAGCACCCATCCGATGACCTTGCACCTTTCTCTTCAAAAATTACGTAAATAACCCAATAAACTCGTTTATCGAGTACTTGCAGCGTGCAAAATCTTATAGTGATGAGCTCATTATAGCTAGGCTTCCTCTTTCACCCATTGATTTCAACTCCGTATGCGTTCAAAAGACTATCCAGCGATTTCAAGAATATTGTCACTACCATAACCATATGATTAGAGCTCGTTAATTTCTTTGATCTCCACAAGCATGCTACTTAGCCATGAGTTCTTATTTCGTGACTCATCCTCCGATCTCTCTCCTTCTATATCAAGTATGAGTTTGTTACCCACTCCATCGCCTACAAATCGATTTAATCCTTGCCATCATAATCACATTGACATAGTTGAGTCAACCTTATCTTAGCTAAATCCACATTACATCACTGGGTTCGCAAGATAAATTGTTTATAAGCACTCTTATCTCCTCTCTCTCTACCGAAATTCTTGCAATGATTATTGATTGCACCATATCTCGAGAGGTATGGTTAATCTTTGAAAGTGCTCTTACCTTTCCATTCAACACCCGCCCGATGACCTTGTACCTTTCTCTTCAAAAATTATGTAAATAACCCAATAAACTCGTTTCTCAATACCTACGAGTGTGTAAAATCTTACGATCATAAGCTCACTACAGGTTGGACGCCCTCTTTCACCCATTGATTTCAACTTGTTTGTGTTCAAAGGACTATTCGGCAACTTCAAGGATATTACCCTATCCACACGATCATAACTCATCAATTTCTCCGATCTTCACAAGTAAGCTACCTAGCCATGAGTTCTTATTATGGGACTCATCCTTTGATCTCTTTTCTTCGTATCAAGTATGGGTTTGTTACCCATTCCACCAACTACAAATTTGATCTACAAAACCACAAGCTTCCTACAAAACGTTCGGTAGTCAAAATCGAGGTAAATGTCGTTCTTTTCGTAGGAGAGGGTGTGGTTGAAATTATAATAGGTATGTTCTAAATTTTGATGTTGATAACGGGAGGAATTGGTCTCAAAATAACCATTGAACCAAATGTCGGACCCGCTTCTCGTGGAATCACACGACAATTAATTACCCACAATGAAGAGAAATTTTATAATACACCGGAGTAACTAGTGGATGTACAATAGTTACTCCATGGGTACACTTTGAGGAGAGAGATAGACATACAAAAAAAAAAAGAGAAATAGGAGAGAGAAAATAAAAAAATTTGAGCGGATATGGAAATCTTCTTATCACTTTTGATGGGTATAGATGTAATTTTCATCTTTTTTTATGTGTTTATCTCTCTCTTCAAAGTGGACCCATGGATTAACTATTGTATATGCCACTTAGTTACTCCCGGTGTATTATAAAATTTCTCCACAATGAATGCCGCATAATTTTCATCATTTCATAAATCTTTCTGCGGTTAACTCTTTTGTTTCGACGCCTCAATCATGGTGTCCCGACACGAGTGCTTCTTACCATGTGACCTTAGATTTAGCGAGCTTCAACACTTATGAGCCCCGTCCAGGTACCGATTAGTTACGAGCTAACAATGGTGAGTATTTACCCATTCATCATATTAGTTTCATTCATATTCACACTCTTTCTAAAACTTTAAAATTGTTTGAAATTCTTCACATTCTCCAAATAATTATACATTTACTTTCTATTAAAAGACTTACACAAGATAATAATTTATTTTGAGAGTTCCACCCTTCTTCTTTTTGTTTAAAGGAATAGATGCACAAGACTCCTCTTCTTTCATCCCCGAGTGACGTTGATCTCTACTTTCTACCCCTTTCCACTATGTCCACTCCTCAAGCCCACTCGTCAATGCTTATCTAAATATTTGACACTCCAGATTAGGTCACTCGCATGAACAAGTCTTAGATTCTATTTTAAAAAACAATGATCTATCATATTCTTCCAAACTAATTAGTCCTTGTTTGTCTTGTCCACTAAGGAAAATAAGTCATCTTTCATTGTCTTCATCTTCAAATTTGAGTACTTGATTTTTTAATCTAATTTTCGGTGATGCATAAGGACCTTCTCATACTTGTTTCGGTTGATGGTCATAAATATTATGTAGTCTTTGTCGATCATTTTTTCAAGCATATTTGGTATTTTTCATTATGTAAAAAATTAGGTGTCTTTGCTACTTTTATTCGTTTCCAAAAAATGGTTGAATGCCAATTTAATTATCAACTCAAACAAGTTCAAATTGATCGGGATGGGAAATTTTGCAATTTAACTAAGTTTTTTTTTATACTATTGGCATTATTCATTGTATAATGTGTTCTCATATGCATAAACAAAATGGTACTATTGAAAGAAGACACCGTTACATTGTCAAAACAGTCTTACATTACTAGGAAAAGCTAGGGTTTTAACAAAAAACTAGCACTTTATATTTCAAACTCGTAGTTTTCCTAATCAATCGAATGCCATCATCTCGTTCTTAAAAATAAATTACCTTTCAAAGTTATCTTTAAAAACAATCATATTACCCTTTTCTAAAAAATTTGGTTGTCTTTATTTCCCTTATTTACGTCCTTATAACAAATATAAAATGGATTTTCGTTTGACTCCTTATGTTTTCCTTGGCTACGATCCATCTCATCTAGGATATCATTATCTTGACTAGACTATAAATCGATTTTACATTGTTTGACATATTTGTTTTGTGAAAAATATTTTTTCATATGCTCACAAAAACACTTTGAACCAAAATTTTGTCTCCATACCTTCTGCTTCACCTTAGGTTAGCATTCCTATTCGAACCCAAACTTTCCTTCTTATCTTCTTTACATACGTTGGTAGTATTTACCGACCATCATGTGCACGTCCAAGTCCGACCTACTATCGGCTAAACAAACTTGGACCTCTAGCCAACAAAACATCATAAACTCCGACCCATCATCATCGCCCGGACCCGTGCCTCCAACCCACCCGAATATGATAGCTCGTTATCCCACCAGTTTATATCAAACCACCTTAACACCAAATCAAGATGAAACCGTGCCTCATCTTCTTCAAGCCGAGCCTACTCCATTAAGTGCTCTACTACCCAAACTAAATCAATTTTTTCTCGCTCTTGCTACTAACTAATCACCTTATATTATAAAAACAAACTCGCAGACTCTTTTAACCTTACCCTTACCTTCCAACCATAGCTCGACCTCTTGAATCCTCCATAAACATAACCCGCTCTAGCTTTTTAACATCATCATCGACTATAACCTCCTTTTCTTTTCCCCACAACTCAAACTCTTCCCCACCTAGCCGAAGCTTAGCTCTAGATTTTTATGGATTGATTTGAAACCTTCGAAATCAAATACTAGCCTACAATTTATTGAGGAACCTTAAAGAACTTATCCCATTATGCGCCGTTCAAGACGTCTATTATCCAAACCTTCTACTTCATTTGCTATCTCCCCTAGCCAAATTCTAAAAAAATCATCTTGTTACATCGAAGCAAAGAAATTTTACGGAATGGAGATTGATAAAGATTGTGGAATTTAATGCCCTTCGCATATTCATA